TCAATCTTTTGGGATTACAAAAAATGAAATTTTAACCAAAATAGTTTTGGTACCAAATGGTATTTTGACTAATTTAAGGTCCCAAAACTGTTTGGATACCAAAAGCAAAGACTTTATTTCATTGTATAGAAACAAGCTTCTCAAAAGTAGTTATGAAAGAGAAGCTACGGAAATCCATAGTAGTTTTGGTATTGTTGTTTTAACCTTATTATACTTGATCTTATTTGCTTTACTTGTTTATATATTGTATAGCTCCAAGTTTCTTATGTTTTCTTTTAATGATTGTATATATTATTTTTGTATTGGTTGAGATAGTTCTTCATTCATATATGAAAATTCTCTAGTCTTAAGTTTCTTATGTTGAGATTTAATGGTTATGTATGTTATTTTTTCATTAGTTGATGATGAAGTTTTGATGTTGTGTTTTTGCCTTTAATGGATGAATTTAGCATATTTAAGTGCTTAATTAAGGATTAAAGTTGATAGTTTAAGGATGAAAGTTTTGGCCAAAACTAAAATTTAGGGTTAATTGAATTAATTGATGAATTTGTTTTGATTTTATGTTTACTTGATTGATTAAGTAGAAAAATATATGTTTAGATGAAAAATTAACCTTAGATACCCTAATTGTAGGATTGATAAGCCCAATGACATCTAAACTTCATGTTGCAAAAAGCCAATGAGATACCATGTTGTGTAGAGATGCGATCTTATCTTTGTAGATCCGACATTTGTGGCACTTCCCACTTGCTTTTATACATAGGATCAACAAAAATGACTAAAATAACTTGTAAAATGCATAATTATTATCCTTGACTTATGCTAGAAAAGGAATAAAATGTTGGATGGATCAAAGCGCATGAAGCATCCCTTTATTCTTAACATTTTCTTAATATGTCTTTTTCTATTTTTTTTTTTATTGTATTCCTCTACTCCCTAAATTTTCTTAATATGGATCTGTATGCTAGTTTTTAGACTAATTTCTTAACCAAACATGACATGTGGTAAAATATTTGACACATCTACTCGTCATGTCGGATAAAATTACCACGATACAAAAACACAAAAATAAAAAATTAGTTGAAAGAAAATGAAAAAAAAATAGATATAAAAACACAAAAAGTGTTTCCTCTCTCCTATATCATGATCTAACCCAATATCAAAACATATCCTTCGTTTTGATTACGAAAAAGTTTTGAAAAAACTTGAACAAACAAAACTTATTCTTCATCAAAATCATTCTTGACAAATCAAGAAATCTAATTCTTTGCAAATATACAATGAATTCCAGGATTGACCAAGATAAGACATTAGAACTTAAATTCATCCTTAACATCCGATGTTGCTGCTAACAACAACAACAACCACCATAGGAGCACTAGTTAGCCGTGCAATAGAAACACCAATCACCAACAAGAGTTGTCACCAAGTAACGATAAAAGCAACGAATGACAACCACTAGGCACAGCGAACAACAATGACAAAAACAACAACAACCACCACTAAGAGTAGGAATGAAACCACTCGTCCCCTTAGATCTTTACTTTCCGAACAACAACAAAAACAACAACCACCGGGAGCAGGGAATTAAACCACTCCTCCCCTTAGATCTTTACTTTCTAACTCCCAACCTTACCAACACACCCTCTTAAGTGAAAGCCTCAACATTTGGGCTTGAAACTTGCATAGGTCCATATTGCCTTGTACTTAATACTTGAGAAATTGGGAGAATGAGACTTGAACCTCTTGGTCAACCAATCTCCGATATCATATTAAATGACCATCTCACTTAAAAGTTTAAGTCGATAGGTGAGGTCCTAGAATATAATTTATATTAGTCTCTAACACCTTAATCTCAAATATTCTAATCTCCTTGATCTCAATTTAGCTCCTTAATTTGAATCCCGAATTGTTGATTATGGATTAGTATAGGTGATGGCTATGGCTTCTACAAAAAGAAGAACTTGGTGGTTTTGGCTATTGATATTATAAAAAACTCTAAAAGACGTAGGGGTGAGACTATTCACCCCAGGACAAATTATCGTGGACGACACTCGTTCATACAACAGTTGTCTCCTTTAATTTAAACCCCTTCTTTGCTTTTTTAATTATAATACCGCCATTATTACTTTTGCTCTCTTTCCGCATTCCTTTCAACTTCCCCATATACGGTAAAACAATCTCACCTTGCACAACCTCCCCCTATCGCCAGCGGCCACCCCCTACTACTTTCACAACCAACTTCACACCATATCCTACAACAAAAAATATCACACCATCATAGTGGAGAACCGAGCATAATTACATGAATAAATAACAACGAACAAGCATAAAAAGAGTGAGTTAGTCTAAGAGGAAAGGATTTTCAAAATTGATAGTGGCTAAAAAAAATAAGAAAAATCGAAACAAAAAAAGGGAGAAAGACTAAATTTACCTAAACCGAAGTTGCAATCCATACCATCGTCAATCAATTCTCCTAGGTAATTTTCTTAATTTTATATTTTACTTGTCAATTTAGGTTTTGTTATGAAATTTAGGGATTTTTTGAAATTTAATTGAAATTGGGTTAGGGAATGAAAATTAAGACCAATTGAAAGAAAATTTTGAAAAATTGAAAATTTAGGGCTCGGTGAAAATTGATTTGAGTTAGGGTTTTGAAAAATTGATTTGGGGATTTTTGATTGGAGATGGAAGAGAAGGAAAGGAAGACAAAGAAGGAAAGAAGAGGGAGACCATGGACGAACCGGTTCCGGTTTGTCCATGGCGAGATCGACAAAAAAAAAAAAAACAAAGAGAGAGAGAGAGAGAGGATTTGGCAAAGAGGAAGAAGTGGAAAGGAAGAAAAAAAACGAGAAGGGGAGAGGAAGAAAGAAAGATGAATCATTGTTGGTTCGTCCATGGTAAGAGAGAGATTCGGGAGATTAGGAAGAAGAAGAGGAAAGAGAAAGAAGAAGAGAAATAACGAATGGGGAAGGAAAGAAAGAAGAAAATTAGGGTTTTGATACAAGATTTATTTTAAAAAGGGGTTGGGTTGTGTTTTTAGGCTTGGATTTAATAAAATGATGTGGGTTGAGTTTAGCCCAACCCATGTATAATTGGGGTGGACTAATTTCGGTCCAGCTCGGTCCAAAAAAAAAAAAAAAAACTTTTGAAGTTGGACTCGGTGTAGCCCGAACCAACAAAAAAAAGTGTCTTACTTTTAATTTCTAATTTTATGCATGCTTATTATTTAATATTTAATTTAGATTTTAAATTATATTTAATTATTTTAATCTTGAATTTATTTTATGCATGTTTGTCCGTTTTATATTTAGATTTTAATATTTTTAAATTTTTTTGTAATTATTTTAATTAATTTAATTTTAACCTTTAATTTATTTTATGCATGTTTGTTATTAATTTTGATTTCATTATTTGATTTTTTTAATGCAACTTTAATTTATTTGTTTAGTGATTAGACTCAATAACTAAAAAGTGGAGCATTGTCAAGTCTCTAATTTTCTAAGGGTCGATGACGACCTTCCATCAAATAAAAAAACTATAAAATGTTTATCAAAGTCTCATATTTGATAGAGATTGTTGTTAGATAAAATAAATTATTTTTAGCAATTGCGTCATTCTCCGACATACCGATTATGTTAAAACTTAAAATGAATCCGATGTTTGAAAAATTTATTATGACAAGAAAATAAAGATTCAATTTGACATGACCTATAAAAAATTCTAATTTTAAGTTATAATTAAAAAAAAATCATAAACAAGAATAAAAAAAATTATTTGTTAATTTTTGTTTAAGTTCTTATGTTACTTTATTTCTTCGATACAATGTTATGAAAAAATATTTAAAAAATTAAAATACATTTTTAAAAATTTTATAGCTAGATTATTATGAATTTTTTAAGAATAAATACATAAAAAAAAAATTATGTTTTTTAACTACAAAAATTATTAAAAAGTAAACAAAAAAAGAGATGCAAAATTTTGATTAAGAATTATAAAATTAGATAAAATTTATCTTTAATTTAATATATTTTTATGAACTAATAGTATCAATATGTTTAACTCGATTCGTAGCGTAATGCGGAAAGCCAACTAGTTTTTAATCTAAAAGAATGAGGAAACTAAATTTGATTTTTAATTATTTGTTATTTCATTGTGATTAAGGAAAATTTTTGAAAAAAAAATGATAGTCTATTTTTTTAATTTTATAAAATTTTTTCACGTGGTAATTTAATTTGACATGACATTATAGGCACCAAATTTTTTGTTGCTTGTCACTTTTGCTCAGAAAAATTGACCAAAAAGCCATCAGAGAAGCCATATAAAGAAAATTTAAGATGCAAAGAGATGCGGGAAAAAAAGAGACATTAAGAAAATGTCAAGAATAGAGTAATGTTTCAGGCTATTAATCAATTGTTGGATCTCATAGTCATTGATCGTCATTCGCACAGAAACAGATTCATTGGTAACCTATGTCCTTGTTAGCTTTAAAAAGAGAGAGCAATTAATTATGGGCTTCTTTGTGTTATACATTAACATTGTAAATACTAATCTCACAGTTCTTTCTTACACCCTTATGAGTTATGACCTCAAGCTCCAACTTTCTTGATGATGTAGATTGACACAAGAATCTTTTGTGAAGTGTGCAACATCAGAAAGAGCTATCTTGAATCTCACCTGAAGCTTTATTTCCCCCTGTATAAACTTCTCTTGGAAAAAATCTTTAACCATCTTACTTGTTCTCTTGGAAGTGATTTTTTGCTGATATAGATCATTTGTCACCTTCCACCAGGTTTCTCAAATTTCTGACTTGTACGGAAGTCGTATATGAGGAAATTAAAATTTGAGGTTGTCCTTCAAATAGCACACGATCTCTTGCTGTAACATTTGACGAAAGAAGAACAGAGAGATATAAGTCATTAACTACCAACAAATTAATAATTAGGAATCAATACACCAGCCAATATTCCAGCAAATACTTCTACTATCAACATATTGATTTATGATGAATACTTGCGTAAGTCAGAAATATCACGGCTGTAAATGCCTCTGAGAACAGTAAAGATAACACCTTCGAAGTTCAAACTTCGAGCTATTTTAAAGAAACTAAGTCACAGTATTTCAGTGCAATCAATCCTAAGCATAGGTCTCCAAGATCGATGGCGAATTTATTTTCCTTTAATAGCTGTAAAGAGATGAAAGTTTTGAATCTCAGAACAAGAGTGGCTGTAGGAGCAATTTCAGCATTTTCAAATACCCTTTTCTCTCTCTGTTTCTTTTGTTTTCTTCCTGAATTTTATGCAATAACATGGTGTTTGAGGAGGATTTTAAAGAAAGCAACTTACGATCAAACAAAGGATGATGCATCCAGTAGCACCAGGGAACAAAGCATACCAAAAATTTAAGTGGTGAAACTTAGCTCCATCAATGAACAGAAGTGGCAAGCTTGCAGCTGTAAATCATTTTGTAATACTTGCATTTTAGTATCAGATAAAGGAACGAAAACTTAGTCCATGAGAAATAAAAAAAATAATAATTGGAGTTTGTACTACCTGGTGGATGCGCGGAACGCGTATAGATCATGAAAGCAATGGACGCAGCAAGGGCAGCACTTCTAGATAGCCAATTGGGCCCAAATAGTGAGAAAGCAATAACACCAATGGCTGCACAACCGATCTGAGCCATGAACATATTGTACTTCTGCAAGTTGTAGAGGAGTACGTGAATTAGAAATTTTCATCTCAAGACAGAAAAGATCAAGCTTTTCACACCACTTACAAAGCCAATATTACAGAACTTTTTGATAAAAAGAAAAGCAAACGAGATTCTAATGGGTAGGCTATTTTCCCCTGGCTTTAATCTGAAACTATACACGAAGAAAAAAGACTTCTTTTGGAAGGATTTCTAGAATCATTTGAGAAGAACAAAAAAGTTTTCAAGAATTGGCAGGAAAACGACTAAAACATGACAACTCTAAATTACATTTATTTCTTTTCATTCTTTCTTTTCATTTTCAACGGTAGATTCACCGGTCGTACTGCTATATACTAGGATTCAATCAGTTGACAGTAGATAAGGAGGAAAAAAATGAAAAACAAACAACCAGACAATTTATATTCTGCGAAAAAAACCTACATATATATATGGAGGATCCTCTTTTGCTATTCACAAGCTTTTAAATTATTATCACTTAAGGCAAAATTATACATGAAGGCGAAGATTTCCAGTAAAAGCCGAAAGTGACAATAAAGATGAGGGTATTTTAAAAATTCAAGTCAAGTGTAATTTAGTTGCTCTGCTGAAATTGATAGCAAAGCACAATCTTGAACACCCAAGTCTTTTGAGTGATCTTAAACTTCAATCACAAGCTTTATTAACCATCTTAAGCACAGCATTTCAAGTGATTAGATTATACTAGTAATGTAAAATTGAGGGTTGTTGGTCATGGCAAATAAGGCACGTATATATACTAGTAATTAGCAGCATTGTGATGACCAGATTAAGACAGACCCGTGCACCAGGGGATGAAGGAGTGAGAAAGAGAACAGCAGAAACGGCTCCTAACGGTGCAATTGTCATTGAAATCCCTTTTGGCGCCAGCATTTGGTCCATCTTTCCAAATATTGCCATTGCTGCAAATGCCCCTGTTCAAGTTCTCACACACTTGCACTTTTATTTTCAGAAACAAAATGAACCATTGGAATTCAACATGTAGAAGAAGAAAAAGAAAAAGAAATTAGGGACCGACCTGCAGAGGGCCAAAAGATATCACTTAAAGAAGGTGTAGAAGCAGGGGTGTTGTCAGGTTTCCAAGAATCCCAAAGAGGAGCAGACACATTGCTTGATGCCACAATCCCATGTTTAGTTTTTGTGATTTTGCTAAGAATACAACTTAAACCAGGATATAATCTCTGTATATTAATCTTGTTGCTGCTGCTTTGAACAAAGGGAGAGAGAGATGAAGAATACAAAATCGAAGCTGTTGATGGTATTGGTAATATTGGTGGCATACAAGCATGATTATGATGATGACGACCACTGACCCTCACCTGCATTCTCATTTGCCTTAGTATTCTGTTGCTAATTAGATTAGATGGATTCTCTCACCGATTTCCTTTTAAATTTCTATCGCACTTGACTGGTTAAATTGATATTCTTTTTATATAATAATAAGAGAGCATATCTTTAAGGAGCCGATCGCTGACCGTTCAGAAAGTGGGCTTTTGGGGTCATCCAAAAGGCATTGAATCAAACCACTTCCTTAGAAGTCAGAACAACCTGTCGTCTTGTTGCTGCTTGATATTTATTATTTTCTTTTATTTATTATTATTATTATTATTATTTTGTTTTTTTTTGGTTATTATTTTTTATGTATTACAATGGCTGAAAGTCAATTATATTTAAACATTTCGTACAATGCAATGCCATATAATTAAGAGCTAATCTCAATTTAAAATCTTACATATTATTTTTATTATTATTAATTAATATCTAAATTTTTTAATGTTATCAATTTTGTCAAGAACATATGAAAATTAAATAAAATCATCTTTCTATTCATTCATGGTTAGTTTGAATTAAAAGATTTTGTTTCATTTACACGTGAAACTGCTTCTATCCATGGCATGCAAATAAACCGCAATTTACCCTGAAGGAATTTAGAACTTCCCCTTATATACAAGCTAGTTAAATAGAGACAAATTTTATAGTAATTTAATGGAGGTTTCACCTACTTTTATTTTATATAATGTTTTTCAAAATTTCATTTGAGTCACTTTCTGGTCCTCAGATTTTTTAACAAATACATTTCAGTCACTTTCCTCGTGTGGTAAGTCACTAGCGTTTGTAATCGTTTATTCTATTATAATTTTGAAAGGCACAAAACTAAACATAAAAAAGTAATTGATCATTATATTTTATCCTAAAGTATTTTTATTTGATGTCAATATCTTACTGTTTAGCATATCAAATTATTTATATGAATCTATACGATTGAAGTGAGGAATGTATTCATTAAACTATTCATCTAAAGAGAAGACGTAGTCTCAATTGCTACACAAACTAGTTTGAAAAAATATTTCTTACTTAAAAAAATAGCAAAGCAAATAGACATTGACAGGGAAGAGGGATATGACAGGAAATGTCAGTGACTTCGATGTAGCTGATGCAATGCAAACCACTTGCAAAAAAATCCAAAGCTAGCTTGCCGATGCCGCGTGCATTTGTTTTGCTGCATAGCCTTTCAAGCCAACTAAGAGTCCATTTGGCAAAACAAATTGCAGCATATTCCCTGCCCAAAAGCGTCCCTCACTCTCAATTTTATCTATTTTACGTACCATTGAAATAGGTCTGGCAACTTTTGGTTTGCATCGAAGGCGAGTTTGACCTGCTATGTTCTTAAATGTTTTTTCTTTTTTCTCTTGAAATATAATTATTGGAAATGTACGCAATTATTGAGAATGTGATATTTAGTTGAAAATAATTTTTTTTTAAGAATATATTTTTATTGTAGAAATTCAGGAGAAATGCAAACAAGTTTACCATTTCACTCCTAAAATTTAAAGTATCCAATTAATATAAGATTTTTATCTTCTTCTTTTTTTGTTAAGATAAACATTTGTATTAATTTTGTATTTAAAACTAATACTATTGAAATGAATCAATAATAAAATTTAATTTTTTAAAATTATTATCATCCCGTAAAATAATATATATTCCAACAAATTACATAACATATGAATTATCTTTTATACTAAATGAAAGCCACTGAAACACACATTAATTGTTTAAATTTATATTTTAGTAAAAATATATACACTAGTCTCTTAAACATTTGCGTAAGTATTCATAAAAATGAGGGTATATTAGGCAACCTAATATATAAAATGAAAGCATTTAAAGGCCCCTCAAAAAAAAAAAAAAAAAAACTCACAATGCCAAAATCCTTGGCATCTCGAATTCCCCTCATTTTAGAAGAAAATTGAATATCCAGAGTTTCGAGAAATCAATGTTTCAAGACATTTGAGATTTTGAAATTTGAAATGCATTGGATTACCAAGCGCAAAATTACTTGATATTTTAAATGACTTTTCTAAAAGAATCTCAAATATTTCTGTACCAAACGTTCAGTAGTGTTGAAGTGTACTTGTGTCTATGTTGTAATATTGTAGCAAGAAGAATACTAGTTTGATTAACATGTGTGGTTAATAGTGCTTTATTAATAATTTTTTATTAAAAAAAAATGTATTATTTTGAAATTTTAATTTTTAAGTTAACATGTACTTTAAAGTGATAATCAAGAATATTAAAAATATATTCAATTACAGTTTTTTTATATGTGTGTTCTTTATGATGACTTATTCTTTTAATATGCATGCGCAGCGCAGACCTTGTCTATATCATTCCAAATTATTATAATAAAAAACATCTTTTACATTGAAGGCACGGAGAAGTTAAAAGAAAAGGAAAGACATGGCAATTGGAATACTTCTGGATAAAACGTAAACGGTACGAATAGATAATATATCTAAATCTAATTACATTCATCCTTGTCAATTCTACAAATAATAATAATAATAAATAAATAAATAAATCTTTAGAGATAGATTTTTTTACCACTAAACCTATATATGTTATCATTATTTTCTTTTACCGATGTCACCAATCCATTGATAAAATGCTTGCTGCTAATAATTTTAACGATTGATAAAATGTTGCTATAATGAAGTATGTTCATCACTAATCTAATAAAATTAAAATAAATTTCCTATATATATATTATTGTTGAAATTATATTTTATTTTGATGGAGTTATAAAATAATAGGAGTCAATTAATTCTACTCCTTTTATTTTAAAGATACCATTCAACTTTCTATTTATATGTGCTTCTAAATACGGTCAAAACTTTAAATGATGTAATTTCTTAAAATATTTTTAATTAAATTTTATTTTTTAAAAAAGTATGAACAAAAATATTAATATGATATAATAATTAATAATTTTTTTAATATGCATAAAAATTAAAAAAATGATGACAGAATGAGTAATTCTAATTAAATATTATATATAAATTAATAGATAGAGTTGATCAATTTTAATCTCTATTGGAAATTCTTGAATTATATAAATACGTCAATTGAAAGATTAATTATCTGACAAGTTTGAAAGAATTCATTGCAAGAAAATGTTTAGATGGGTAAGCCTTTTTTGGATACCAATCCTCAAATTAAATGATTGGGCTTCTTGGGAAAATCACGCATTCATATTTCAAATAACAAATAATAATAATAATAATAAAACTAGTATAAAATTAGATAAATCTGTCATGCGTATAAGACTAGTATAACAAAAATTCTAAATTCTAAATTTAAAATCTATATTACTAGGGATAAAAAAAAATCATATAGATTTAATTTACTAAAAAAATATATATATAACCATAGATCAAAACAATAAAATAAGTATTAAATAACTCATATATCCTGTGACAGTACTAGAATGAAGTTTAATCCTAGAAACTCTAGTGAAGAAAAAATGATAACTCTTTAAAACTTATCACAAAGTTTGACACACACACACATATATCATGCGGGATGGCTACATGATAAGCGAGTTTATCTAAAAAAACCTTGTCAACCCAAAAGCTTAGGTTGTTGGGTGATGCTCTATGAATGGTTTAATATTGTTTTTTAACACATTTTTTTAAGTAAAAGTCATTTGGGCTTAAAATTTGTACATATGCAATATTATCTTATACTTAATTAAAAGAGAAAATGGGAGTCGTGAAATTCAAACTCATGACCATTTAGTTATTAAGGCTACGATACCATGTGATACTATTAAAATGGTGTGAATTGCACTCCTTTCTTTTATTGATGAAACATATACAATATATAATGGTGAATTAGTAAGAAACCAATCTCTTAAGAATTTAAATTATCATTGATTTAAATTTATAATTTGTAATTCAAATCAATGATTACATTTGAATTTGAATTACAAATCAAAATTCAAATTAATCATTATATTTTATTCGAATTTGTAATTTGTAATTCAAATCAATGATAATGATTACATTTTATTTGAATTTGTAATTTATAATTCAAATCAATGATAACTATCATTTAATATTAGAGCATCTTTCTCTTTTTGTCCCATCTAATTCAATATTTCACTACTCACCTTCTAATCTCCAATAACTTAGGCAATCTACCTTATGGCAATCGTCCATGACATCCATGCCTAGGTTACTGCAAGATATGTCGTATTCAAGAACACACGGCTAAATAATGTATGTCGTTCCAATTGGTGCAAATTTAGCCATCAAACACAAGATATGTGCCACCATCCAACACTCCACGAACACCTTGGTAGCCTTATGCTCATTCCACTACTAATGTTTTCTCCTACAACAAAAATGATTGCTTGATAGTGGTGGGTCTCATCATGTTAGAGTAGACTTGAGTAGCTTATTATGACATGTACCTTACAATGGCTCCAACGACATTATAATTAGAGATAACACAAGTTTTTCAATTGCTCATAATGATTTCACTTCTTTTCCCACCTCTAAAACTACATTTACATTAAGTGATGTACTTTGTGTCCCAAACATGAAAACAAACTTAATTTCGGTTTCTCAATTTTGTAATACCAATAATGTATTTGTTGAATTCGACCAATTTCATTTCAAGTGAACGATCTTTGTACGGGGGAAATTCTTTTTCTGGATAACTCTAAGGATTAAGTGTATGAATGGCCAACTACTAAGTTAATGTCTTCCCATTTAGATGTGTCATTTTCTATGTTAAAAGATTTTTCATCTAATGCACATGCTAATGTCATAAAAATCATAAGTTATCATTTTTCTACTTCCTCTCTTATCTCCTTCCAACCCCTTAAAATTATCTTTTCTAATGTCTAGGCATTATTTTGCATTATGATTTCAAATATTATGTCATTTTTGTGGATAATTTTACCAAATATATATGGCTTTTTTCATTAAAAAAAAAATCTAAGATTAAAGCAATTTTTATTCGCTCCAAAGCTATTGTAGAAAAT